ACCCAAAAAACCCCCAAGTAGCAAGTTTTGAGAAAAAAAAATTGAATTTTAACAAAAATCGACCACCATTTTGGATCCGCCATTTTGAATTTTTAAAATCTGACTTCAGATTCGTATTCTACGACCCCGAAAACCCCCAAGTAGCAAGTTTCGAGGAAAAATATTAAATTTTTAAAAATCGACCACCATTTTGGATCCGCCATTTTGAATTTTTAAAATCTGACTTCAGATTCGTGTTCAGCGACCCCAAAAATGCTTAAAAGTGTATTTTTTGATTCAATTTAATTAATTTTGGAAATTTCATTCATGTTTGTATTTGTCGAATCGTGACATTGATGACTTATATCACATCTACAGGCGCCGCCATATTGAATTTCTAAAATCGCCCAACTGCTTTCGAAAGTACTAGAGTGTACAAGTTTTTTCAGCCCTTAAACAATTTTTTTTATCAAGCCAATTTTTGGCTAGAGCTCTGTTCCGTTTGACGTGGAACGTCCCATATATATATAATTTAAATTATTAAATTAAAAATAAATTTATAAAAAAATGAAATAAAAATTGTTTGTAATTTCAATTCCTCAATTAAATTATAAATTATGTAATTATTATATTATATAAAATATAAATTAAACTATAGAAAGATTCCTTTGTACATAATTATGTGCCAGCCGACATTCAATCTTATGCAAGTTACAAAAATTCATGGCATACGTTTTTAGCAGCTTGCCTGCCAGGGTTGTCATGGCAACGTGTAGGAGTAATAGAGATAGTTCATTCAAATTTGAATTTTCTCACTCTTTTGCTTCTGCACGCTTCCATGACAACTCCTGCTTCAGGCAGGCAGCCAAGAGGTAAGAGTACGCCCTTAATTTTTCTACATTATGAGTTTTCAAATTTTAAATTAAAATTTTCAAATTCAATTAAAAAGAAAATTGATTGCATTTTCAAAAAAAACAAGTTATAAATTCAGATGTTCATTACATGAACATTTTGCTTCCTCTTTACGATCAGCAAAAAAATTTGCTTCCTCGTGGAGAAAGCAAAATTTTATTGCCAAAATGTAAATTTTTGATTTTTTAACTTTCATTAATTTTTTAAATTTACCTCAAATGTATACTTCATATATATCGATCGATTCGTCTTGACGTAAGGAAAACGATTTTATTATATATAACCTTAAATTTTTCTATTTAAAAATTTTTATGATTGAAAAAAAAATTTTGGGAAAAAGACGATAAAATTTTTTTTTTGGGGTATTTTTCAAAATCCTTTGGTCAGATTTGAGATCTTAATATGATAAATGAGCCTACCAAGTTTTATCTAAATCCATTAAAACCTGTTGAAGTTATCTTCTAAACAAAAAAGGGATCCACACACACACATACATACATCCGGACAATTGATCAGGATCTGATATAACATGTTTCTATAAAGAAAAAAAATTTTTTCCGCCACTTTGAAAAGTTTTATAAACGAAAGGACTACAAAGCTTCCTCCACGAGGAAACAAAAAAATTATTCAAATAAAAGTTATAATAAGTATAAATTAATTAATATTATATATTGAAGCATTATTAACTCTCACACCGGGGATATATATTTTTATGTGTGTTTATATTTACTTTCTTATCAATCTTAGCCTTGATTTGGTTCGGTTCTGAGAAATTAATAAGTTCAAAAATGTGGTTGAAGGACCGTAAACATAAATGTTTAGATAGTAATCACCCACATTACGTAAGTTTACACAAAAGAAAGAATGACTATTGTCTAAATTTAAAGGGACAATGTATTTTCAAATTTAATTATTTGATACAATGAACACGTGCCAGCTATGTCAACAGATATGATTGTAATTATATAATGGAATAGTTTAAATTAGATCAATCCTTAAATTTATTATTTCTATAGATATATTTGAAAGAAAATATTTATTTTATTTTTAGAAAACTTGTTGCTTGTTTACCAAATTAGAGGAATCTTTCCCATAATTATTCGGTAGATCAGCTGTTTATTTTCTTATTCACTTCTACTATTATAAATGAATTAATGTCATATGTCATTTCGAAGTTGAATATTTTTACTTTACAAAAAAAACAAATGTTAATTATTAATAAAAAAATAAAATATACAATCAATCATATGGTATAATTATTTATTGTTTAAGTTTGAATAATTAATTGTGAGTTCGTTCTGAATGAAATTAAATGAAATAATCTTATTAATTAACTTAAATTTTTCACCTTTTTGTCTGATTTCTTTCTAACAAATTTGTTTTTCCTCAATTGAAATTGAAAATTAGCTCGTAGGCTTATCTATATAAAAAAAAATATAAAATAAAATTTCAACGAAATAAAAGAAATCTGTCAATTTCTATCAACTATCAAGGTCAAATTCTCTATTCCCTAAATTAGTTAATCTATCATAAGTAAATTGATCTTCCAAGTATTTTCCTTAGACTTAGATTTATTTAATAAGTTATTTATTTTACAACATATTAAAATGATTAAACTCAAATAGAAAATAAATGAAAAAGTCATTTACCTCTCTGAAAATTAGCCTAAATAAATAATTTAAGTAAATTATTTATTTCCTAAATTAACTAATTAATTGGAGGACAAGGGTTCATAATCAATTGAATCTTACACATTAACAAATTGATCGCCTATTGCAATGAATTTAAGATATATGTATCTTCAAGAGACTTACGATTTGCTTTTGTTACCACTTAAGGATCCAGATAATAAGGTGGTACTCAAAGTTATCAGAAACCCCTTAAGTCTTTCTCCATGGCTTGACTTTGTAGATTTTATAGTTTGAGTTAAAGTGATCATTCACTTTTTGTTTCTTCCACTTGCCTAATCTTGACTCTAAATATTAAATTTATAATTTATTTAAAACATTTATTTCTTATATAATTTTGAGTTGGAACGGTTGTTACACCAGCCTCTCAGATATCATATAAGATTATGTAAAAAGAAAAAAAAGATATAAATAATAAAAAATTGATATTTTAAATAATAAAAAAATTTTATATTAAACACTTGTTCTTTAATCTTTAGAACTTACTTTTATATCGTAAAATCCAATCACGAAATTATTCAATCACTCTATACAAAAACTATCTGTCAAAAATTCAATACGTAAATAATATGTATTTGCTTTGCTTGAATAAATTTTAGAGAATGCCCAAATTTGGGTCTCCTTCTCTATTTATTAACTCGAGACGGCGCTTCATCCCCCAAATTTCTCTCTATCCAATGTAGGTTTAAATTTAGTAAGTGTGTAAGAGAAATTCTGACAGCTGATTGTTGAAAATCCGCGGTTTTCCCTTCCTACCTTTCTTCGTATACTTTTACTGTATATTTCTTACCGCCAAATTTGCCCTCTAAACGCATTTTTTGCGGCGTCCTAGTTTCTTAGCCAATAGTATTTAAATTATTTTGGTAAGGACAGAGCGATTTCTCTCTTTCTAATTCCGTTGTAACGTATACAGAGAACAATGCCATTGTCCAGCTGTCAATCATTTTTCAATTATTAATATAATTTCTTTAAATCTATGATATCTTAAAAAATAATAATTTGACAATGATTTTACTTTTACCATTAATTTTTAAATAATTTTTACTTTTATGTGACATATAATTTTTACTTTATTATTATTAATTTAAGCAATTAAATAAAATAATTTGCATTATTTTAAAAAAAATGAAAGATATGGTTAATTAATTCAATTATAGTTTATATTTATTTTTAATATTGTTAATAAAAAATCTTTAAATTTGAATTAAATTAATAATTTCTTTATATTCGAAATTATATCTTTCCTCTCTTACTATTATTTTTCTCATGTATATTTCTCTATAGTGTTATCTATTAATGTTTTCTATCTCTTTTTATTATTTCTGAAATTCTATTTCTCCAGATTTAAATTTAATTCTTAATATTTCTTTTCTTTTGTTTTTATAAATAATTTGTCACTTTTCTTTAAATATTTAATTATTTTTATAACAATTTTACAAAATAAAATAATTTTTATCATTTTATTTATCAATATTTAAGTTAATGTTAAAAGGTATTTTATTTATATATTATTAATTATTTAATATAGTAATTAAACATGAAATTCATTCTTCCTATGCACTTTTACATTTTTAGAATTTCTATATTAGTGTATAGTTTAGACATTCATATACATATATATATATATACTCATTCTCCTGAGTGCAAGTGTACTCATGAAAACAGTATTTTTCTTTCTTATATTTTTCTTTACCCATGTATATATATATATACATATACCAAAATGAAACATTATATTTTTGAAATTATATCATACTCTATATTTTCCATTATTTACATTTAAATAGATTTAATCTTTTGACTATTGGAATAACTCTTCAATGCCCCCCTAAACCAATCATATTCTTTTGACATAAAAGAATTGATTTGTTTATAAAAAAGAAAAAGTTTCTCAATAGACAAACTTAAGAGAAAAAAAAACAAAAATTTTGATTACCCCCTTAATGCCCCCCTAAACGAATAAATTTATTAAATCCTACAATAAATTGATTTCTTAAAAAAAAATCAAAATTTATATTCTTTTTTTTTAAAAAATAGCTTTATTTAGCCTCCAATGGCTCTTATTCTAACATTATCTTCCTCCTCCTCCTCCTCCTCCTCTACATCCTCCTCAATTTTTTCGTCATAATTTGGAAATATTTCTATTGTTCCCGGTGCTAACTGTGCTAGATGTAGATCGATTAATTTGTCATCTACTAACCAAAGCCTGTTTAAAGTTCCGCAATTCATGTTTACGTCGTTGATTCTAGCTTTGAAATAAAATTGAAAAGTTCTATTTTGCATTAGAACACCAAATCTATCAATTGCATCTTTGTCCCAATAGATATTATTATTAGGTAAGATGTCGGTTAATGCTAATTTTGTTAGGTTTTTTTTATGTACAGAAATTTGTATATTAAGTAGAAAATATTTTCTCTAACTATGTGTAAATGGACATCGTTATCCACATCGTATACAAGAAACACGTCTTGCACTCCAGTATTAAATAGTATGAGGATTCCTCTTATGTAGGAATTATTATTTGTCTTTGCTACTACAGGCCATCCTGCGTAATTGGTTAATTCGCCTTGAAATATGAATCTATATGATTCATCATATAATGAATAGAATTCATTGCATTCCGCCATTTGTTGATTATAATTTTCCTGAAATTCATCCACTCTTACTTTTATAAACGATGGACTAATAGTATTTAGTACGCTTACGTTATATTTTTTATTAACATGGAGTATTTCAGACGGATATTGCTCCATTGAGAGAACGATATCATAATCATGATTATCGTTATTCATCTTTAAAAAAGAAATCAAATTTAACTACTCAATTATTTTTATAATTTATAAAATATAATGTAAATAACAATATGGAAAATAGAAGGAAGAGAAAGAAGAGAAGAAAAAAAATAACAATAACAAGATACTATATACTATCCAGTGACACCCAAAATCACTCACGACGCAAAGAGAAAATAAAGATAAGAAAGGAAAAAAAAATTTTTTCTCTTATTGATTTTTAATTCGTAGATTTATTATTTTTTACACTTTTATTTAATTTATTGACTAAGCGAATAAATCGAATTACTTTCCGTTGGTATAGTAGCTGTGTGGTGATAAGTCATGCTCATGTCAGCCATTACGGTTGTTATTATGCACCTGTCACAAAAACTGTAGCGTTATTTGAAAAACACGCGTTTTTCCAAAAATAATTTCATCTTTCGGACAGTGTTGAAAAGGTTTATAATTTATATAAAAAAAACCAGGTGAGTGTTTTCTGAAGTGAAATTTATCGCTGAATACAAATCTGGTATTATTTTGGCAATATTTTTTATATTTACTTAGTTGGGGGGAAATGTAGTGCACTCGGTTGGGGGAAATGTAGTGCAACTGACGGAGTGTCATTAGTATGTATTTTTTTTGTTTATTTATGCTTCTCGCGTCATTTCAAATATATGTGTAATATTCAGAGCGATCCTTACCTAACATGTTTTGAAACTACGTTGAAAAATAAAATTTTTCCAAGATCGGTATTATATTATGTATTGTATTTTCAGCAAAATGCCGCGCAATCGAAAATGAAAAACACAAAAACCTAACGATGATAATATTATTAAAGCAATAGAAAGTGTCCAGGCCGGTTTCAGCGAGCGAGGCGCAGCGAAACAATTCGGGATTTCGCCACAAACTTTGCGTCAACGATTGAAAGGATGTAAAACGAAATCAGAAGCGCATTATGGTCAACAAGTGAGTAATTTGCTTGATGTAATTCTGATGGTTTTTTTCACATTGCATTTTATTTCTCAGGTATTCAATAATGAACAAGAGCAACAGCTCCGAGAATATTTGTTGAAGTCTGCAAAAATATTTTACGGCCTCACGTTGCCGCAACTTCGACAACTGGCATTTCAATTTGCGCAGGCATTGAAAGCAGCCAAATCTATCAAGAAAATCACAGCAAGTTCGTACTCAAATAATCAAGACGAACAACCAGCTGCCAGCAGAGACTGGTCTGAAGCCTTCTTAAAACGTCATCCCGATTTGACTCTGCGTCGACCCGTACCAACATCGCTCGGTCGAGCAATCGCTTTCAATGCTCACGTCGTTGGCGAGTTTTTTGATTTGTATGAAAATATCCGGCAATCACATCAATATACAGCGGCGACAGTGTGGAATATGGATGAAACTGGGCTGAACACAGTACATAAAATGAAATACGTAATAGCGCAAAAAGGTGAGCGATGTGTAGCAGCAGCTAGTTCGGGCGAACGCGGCACTAATGTGACTCTTACGATGGCTATTTCTGCCGCTGGAGAAAAAATTCCACCATTTTTCATCTTCCCAAGGATCAAAATGAATAAAGAAGAACATGCCATTAGAGTGGATACTGAGAGAACTTTGCTTATTCTTGACAATCACGAATCGCATTTGACTATTGAAGGATTAGAATTTTGTAAACGAAATAACATTGATATATTAACTCTGCCTCCACATACCAGTCACAAACTACAACCTTTAGATAAAGGTGTTTTCGGGCCATTAAAAGCATATTATGCAAATCAGTGTTCAGCATGGTTGTTTATTCACCCTAATGTTCCAATTGGAATTTAGAACTTTGCTGAACTCGTTGCTGAGCTAATCCTTAAAGGTGCCTCCTCTATGAATATAATTAGTGGATTTAAAGCAACAGGTATTTGGCCATTCAACAGAGACATATTCACAGAAGATGATTTTTTGTCGTCGTCTGTCACTGATCGTCCCTACAAAGATGATGCCAAATCAACAACATCCAATCCAGCGACAATCACCACGCAGTTGGCTGCCGAGAGGAAGATTGAAAAAATAGTGGAGAAGCATAAAAAAATGTCTGAAAAAATAGCTAAAATTACTAAAAAAGCTGCCACCAAGATTGTAGCAACACGTAAACGCGGCCGTCCAAGTAAAGCGAAGCTTCAGGAAAACGACGAGGACGTTAATGAAGTCGTCCTGAAGCACAGAACTAAACGTCCTCGTCGATAAGAAAATTTTGTATTCATGTTTACGTTTTTTTCAGATTTTAGCAGTTTCTTATTTTTTTTAAACAAATAACTATTTTTAAATTTTTTATATATTTTATGTACCTAATAGTGCTTAACTTTTTCAAATAAATTAGTTTTCTATCGTTCCTTGAATATTTTGGTGCTTTTATTGCACTTAGAATGTTGTGCACTACATTTCCCCACAAATTTTGAAACATCGAAAAAAAGTACTTTCAGTTTTTTGGCTATAGCTCAGCACCATTAATTCTTGCAAAAAAATGCAGTACAGCAAAAATGTCATCGATCAAAATCGGTTGAAAAATACGACTACGGGAGTCGTTAGAAAAACAGGGCACTACATTACCCCCTTCTACTCTAACTATTGTTTACTTAAAACACTTCACTACACTTTTTATTATAATTGTTATTAACATTATTTTTATTTTATTTATATAATGTCACTTTGTTTTAATTAGAGTTCCTATCCTGAGTTACTATCCCATATGATATATGTACCTTTTTTTATCACTTTTTTTATTTCATATGGTCCTTCATAGACTTGTAGGAATTTAGCTATTATTTTATTTTTCTTATCAGACCCATTTAGTAATTTAATTAAGTCTTTTTCACCTACTTCAAATTCAGTTAATTTGTGTGTGATATTAAATTTTTCTGATCTTTTTTTACCTTTTTTACAGATGTTATTATACGCGAGTTCTAATTTTCTTTCATAATCCATATTATTTGGAATAGCTGGAAAATCGAACCATTTTTTCCACATTCTTCTTGGCTTTTTGTTGAGCTGAAGTTCTATAGGTGTAAACTCGGTAGTTTCATGGTGAGTTTCATTGATACAATTTTCAATCATTGATATCCAATTCCACCAGGAATTATGTCTACCATTGGTAAGAGTTCTGAAAAATCTTGATAACTCCCTATGAATTCTTTAGACAATATTTCCTTGAGGATGACGTATTGACGAAAAGACAGGTTGTATCTCCTCTTCTTTGAGTTTATTAGTCCATACTTCTGAAGTAAATTGTGTTCCGTGGTCCGAAATAATTTTTTCTGGTTTTCCATATTCCTTTATATGATGTTTGAAAATTTTGTTCATTAGCGCTATTGTTGTTATTTTTCTTATGGGGTATAATTTAACGTATTTACTAAACGCATATATTGTTGATAAAATATATTTAAATCCGCCTCTTGTTGCTGGTAAAGGACCGGAAAAATCGATTGATAAAATTTCTCCCGGTTTTTTCGGTGCATAACTTCTCATTTCAGCATAATTAGTTTGATTAGAAATTTTATTTTTCTGACATGAGTCACAGCTAGCAATCCTATGCCTAATAACCTTGGAAAAATGCGGATAATAAAAATATTCATTTAACATGCGAAAAACTCTTTGTGGTCCTACATGTCCATACATTTCATGGGTTTCATCGATTAAATTGTTTATAATACTTTTTGTTATACATAATTTTTTTTATTATCCCCGCTATTAAAATATAGTATATTTTTTTCTATTAAATAACGCTTTGTTTTACCGCTTTTAACTTCTGCAATTCTTTGTTTGGAAATTGAATCTAGGTTTTGTTCTTGTGAAATATTTTTTAATTTATTTCGCAACATTGAAGATGGTGTTTTAACTAATTTATACAAAAATAATTTGCACTCATGTGAATTAATACCAATTTTGTATTCTTCATATGATGGTGCCTTACTTAGTACGTCTGCAACAATATTGTTTTTGCCTTCAACATGTTCAATGTCAAAAGTTAAAATCCTGAATTGCTAAAATCCACCTCGTTATCCTACCGCTTATTAATTTACACGTTTTTATGAACGTTAATGCCTTATGGTCCGTTTTTATAATTACATGAGTTCCTAGTATATACGATCGAAATTTCAATAAGCTCCATACTATAGCAAGTAGCTCTTTCTCTGTCGTGAAATACGTTAACTCGGCTCCTTTCAACGTTCGACTCGCGAAAGCTATAGGTACATGTTCTCCGTCCTTGTCTATTTGATACAATACGGCTCCTATCGCTACATTGTTCGCGTCTGTTTGTAAATAAAACGGTTTTGATAAGTCAGGATAACTAAGAATTGTAAATTCACAAAAAAGATTTTTAACCCGTTTGAATGCTATATTTTTTTGAATTCCACTCCCATTTATTTTTGTTTCTTAATAATTCAAGTAAAGGAACTAATTCTTGGGCATGATTTTTAGAAAATTTTGTATAAAAATTAATTAGTCCTAAAAAACCTCTTAATTCTTTTAAATTTCTGGGTCGCGGAAAATTGAGTATTGCCTTTATTTTATCAGGATCCGGTTTAATTCCAAGTGGTGTCAAAATATGCCCTAAAAATTTCAATTCCGGACGAAAAAAATGAGATTTTTCAAAGTTGATTGTCATATTATGTTCTTCTAAACGATGAAAAATTTTTTCTAAGTGATAGAGATGTTCGTCAATATTTTGTGATGTGCCCAGCATGTCGTCGATAAAAGTGATTACAAAATCGCCTATACCACATAGTACCTGATCTAACGCTCGTACCAACGCACTTGTACTTGTTTTTAAACCGAAAGGTACTACATTAAATACATAGCATTTACCTTCTATTATAAAGCCCGTATATTTTTTAGATTCTTCCGATAAACGAATTTGCCAAAAACTACTGACCAAATCTAAAGAAGACATCACTTTTACACCCGTACATCTTTGAAATAAAACTTCAGTTGTTTCCGCACGTTCATATTCATCGATTACAATTAAATTTAACTTTCGCGCATCTAAACAAAATCTAATAGTACCATCTTTTTTTAATGATATACATATTGGACTAATGTATTGCGTATTCATTTTTTTTTAAATTTTTAATTTAATAAATTTTTTTATTTCATTATTAACTTTATGACGCAATTTCATCGGAATAGGATAAGATTTTTTAAAAAATGGTTTGCTATCATCTACTTTTATTTCGTGTTCATATATTAAAATTCTACCCGGTTTTTTAGAAAAAACATTTTTATACCGTGAAATAAGTTTGTAAAATCTTTCTTTATCATTTTTGTTTAAAATAGTACATTCCGCTATTTTATTTTTAATTTCATCTTCAGTTATTTCAAATTCGAACTGTGTGTCATCATAATCATTGTTTATTTCTAAATCTTTAATTACATTTGGGGCATCTTCTAACATTTCCATTCCCGTTAAATGATTGACAATAATTTTACTAATATCTGTTACGTCCCGATCTAAGGCAAGGGTAGTTTTTATTAAATGAATAATAAGAGGGAGGTAAGGTGCTGATTCATCAAGTTGGTAAATCCTGATGTTTTATATTTATGTGGAATCGTGTCACTTTATAAGAACTAGGGTCCTTTGTTAAATAATTTTATGCACATTCCCTTTTTAATGAACAATTTATTTATTATGACGTTTGAAATATAATTTTACTTACAATATTAATAGTTGAACCTGGATTATTACAATGAATGCAACCGGCCTTACATGATTGCGTTGCAGGATTGATAACAATATTTTTGTTCTCAGTTCGTTATTTAGCACTAATGCACAAACGACTATTTAATATTATTTAAGAGTTATTTCTCGACACTGTACATTAAAACAAAAAGAAACTTGTTTCTTTAATAATCGGAAGTAACTTTCATAAAATAATATTATACGACAATTGAAATAATTGAACTAATAAAATCAATGAAAATTACCTTCGATCGTACACAAAATATAAGAAACAAGATACTTTTTAATAACACTGATTCTAAGTACAATTTTACAATTGAAGGGCCGACTCGACGATACTGTTCGGGTAGAAACTCACCGGAGTAATTTGTCGACTACCAATGATCAAGTTGCCATTTATATACTCCTTTTTTGAAATTGACTCAATCGTTGATAATCTATTTTTAATTTTTTAAGAGATATAAAGTTCACAGGGTTATTTAGTATCTGTGATTACCTATTTAAATCTTATTATTAATTATTTTATCTCGACCGAAGTTTATCAGTTTGTGACATACTTTAACAATTCTAAAAGGTGCAAAACATGTTTACCCATTATTTGCATTTTCCATTAATTATCATTATTGCATATATATTTATGTGTCTAATTATGTATTGTATTTAAAACTTTTGATGACAATATGGTATTCTGTCGTACCGATGCCTTTATGATAATTAATTGCGTTTGTCAATTATCTTACGTGTTGATAACGCATCGACTACAGCGAAGAAGAGTAATGCAACTTTTGGTCGATAATATGGATTATCGTATATAGATCTTTTCATCGAATAATGTACATATATATACGCATATACACATAAACATATATATATATATATATACATATATATATATATATATGAGAGATTCTTTTTCAATCGCCCCAGCCCAAAAAGTCAATGTTCTGGGATTGGCTTCATACTTTGGTAAATTGTTGTCCTATATGATAGTAATAAATCCCTAAAATATAAACTCATTAAAAAAATATTTGCAGAAAGTAGAGGGGGTTGAAGTTTTGACGTTAAGGGTAACATTGTCATTTTCAAATCCGTATAACTATGA